TAGTAGTAGTAGTAGTAGTAGTAGTAGTAGTAGTAGTAGTAGTAGTAGTAGTAGTAGTAGTAATAGTAGTCGTAGTAGGAGTAGGAGTAGGAGTGGGAGTAGTAGTAGTAGTAGTAGTAGTAGTAGTAGTAGTAGTAGGAGGCCATTGTTGTCGTGGTTGTAGTGGTAGTTGCAGGTGGTGAGGGCAGCAGTAGTTATGTTTTGGGCCTCCTTAGGTCAATTAGCTTGCATTTCAGTCCGTTGCAGGACCGGATGGCCAGGATTGAGCCGACCGTGCCATACCAGGCGGCCCAGTGCCAGGATGTCACTGTGATCATGTGGTAGTGGAGTAGGGAGGGTACATGGTGTTGAGCAATGGAAGACGAAGTGAAACCAGAGGGCTCCTGGCATCGCTACTAGGAACAAGAAGCTACTAGGGGCTCCTGGCCTTACTACTAGGAGCGATCGGACGCTAGTAGGAGCAAAGGGCATCGCTACTAGGAGCAAGGATGCTACTGGAAGAAAGCTCCTAGATTGCCGGTGTTCCAAACGGTTCCACGGACATCCACGAACCGAGAGCTGCAGGTGTTCCTGGTAACTTGGGTCTGATTCCAGCGTGCTTCGCGCGTCGTTTTGAGGCCACCGGCACTGCTTCGGCTCCGATTGCTGCGACCTGATGATATGGCTAAACCAATGGATTTTCAAGCAGCAATCAGCAATGAAGGTCAATTTCAGAAGTTACAGAAGTTTCGCTTCACATCCCAAGACACTCTTGAAAGGTGCTTGAAAAAAGGAAGAAAGAAAACAAAAAGGGAAGGGCCCCACCCTACTTTTCACGAAAGGTAGCTTGAGCTACCTGAGTTCTCCTTGCTTTAGCAAAAATGTATTGCAATCAGGAGTTGGGATTGTGCATTGAATTTGGTCCTGTAAGAGTTGATTCTGTTCGTCGGGGGGGGGCCCCCCCTCCCTGGATCAAATCCCCCCTGCGCCGGTTCACGCCGTCATGGACTTCTACCAGGGTTACTTGTGATTGCCTGCTACCTTTCGTTCACCCCCTCCTCTCTCAAGTTTCCATATCCTTCTTCCATGACGCTAACCACCTCTGCCTGATGTGATGTTGGTTGTTTTTGTTTCGGGATCCAATTCCCACTTTGCCGTCCGAGGTGGGGAGAAGCCCGCGACAGTCCAGAGGCTCACAAAACCTTTTGATTTTTGCAGGGTACTCTTTACTCTAGACAACCAGTTGAACTTTAACTTTTGAACCCAGGTGGGACCACCACTTACATGATATTTTTGTTGATTCATTTTCGTGTTTTCTGGAGTGTTTTGCCCAAACTATGCTTAGGGATTGATTGGGGGATCACTCCTAAGATTGATGTGAGGGATAAACTCCCAAGATCGATGTGAATGATTGACATCGAACGCCGGCCCAATGGTAGTCCGTCAGGCGCTCGGATGAACCTATATATATATAATATACATAAGAATACATTAGACAATATTAGACCGTCTTTTACTTCGAGAAAAAACACTATATTTGTTGCTATACCGTTGGTCATGTACGGTGCGTCCAACATTTTCTTTGCAGACCATCTTGGCCGAAGGCAGACTCAGACTACCATGGTAGGTGAACACCTCCAAAGAACCCCGAGTATCCCCTCTCTTCATCTCCTGTTGTTCACCAGTCGATAGTTGTGATGCTGACCACACACGATTCTTCCGTCATATGCATGTCTGGTCTTTGATACACGCACGAGAAGCCGATAGATGCTGGAATGATGCACGAGTCAACTCAAAGAGTTCCCCTGGCTGCCTGCACTCTCTGAGACCACACACACATGCAGACAAATAAACGCACAGCTCTGAGATACTGCAGAGCCACACATTTTGCCATGTCCACTCAAGTCTTGGAATGTGGCGGTGTTGTTACGCCTGAAGCTCAGAGAGAATCTTCGCCGTTCAATTCCGCTTTGGGCTGGTGTTGGATGGATCTCATGTGAGTGCGATGTACATGGACCGTGACCAGAGGTATTCCTTACAGTAGGCCTTGGAACTAAAAAGATCCTACCAGTTCAGGCCTATAGATCTACTGATCTACGCTCCCTCTACACTCCTCATCACCTCATCCAAATGACTTCGTCTCTTCCAGTTCCGATCAATTGTCAATGGCAGGTGTTGCTTTCTCAAACAAGCCGCGCTTGGTCATCCGTCCCCTGCCCCCTTGGCAGGCCTGACCCACCAGCGGCTGAGGTACCAGATCCTATGTGGTCGAGAGATTGCGAGACAGGATCGGTTTGCCATACAGATGGCCAACTACTGCTATTTGGCCGGTGGCCTCAGATTCATGATCCGAGACAATCAGGATCCAACGGTGTACCCCAAAAAGAGAGAGAGCCTGACATTGTGCGCAACAATTTGTAAAACATTTCCTACACCAATTGTTTCTGAGGGTCACAAGTAAGAAAGGCTGGCTTGCATCCTTAGAAAATCAATGGAGAACTAAACATGACTCAACACTCGACTGGGTTTTTTCGGTCGGTGAACACCGATGCACCGGTCCAGGTGGTGAACACCTTGGACCACACGGCCATTGCACTGGACGCCGCCTGGGACGTGCAGGGCCTCTATGATTTGGCCGCTGAGCTGGGTGCGCGGTCCCCAAGCGGCGAGGTGAGAGCGGAGCGGAGCGTCCAAGGAGGACAGGACGTTGGATGTTTTCTTGGTGGATCAACATGGACCTAATAGCTGGCATCCATTGGCCAATCGTTTTTTTGGTGCTTCTGAAGTTGCCATTTCTGAAACCTGGTGATTTTGGGGTTCGCTTTCGATAGGTGTGACAGCCTATGGGGATACTGGTGATCTATGCTGATACTTACGGGCAAGACCATGGTCTCCTACCGATGGGGAGAGAGGAGATGACACCTGCTGGTTCCCTTCGAGTTCCCCCCCCTGCGTTGTTCATGGAATGACTTTACTTGTACTTGTATTGTATAGTGCGTCGCAGTTGCGAGTGCAAGGCCCTACTGCAGGGGTTCATACACTCTACTGACTCTACTGTATTTCAATTGTGAGGTTGGCCATTCACGCAAGATGGGAATGACTTCCACATCTCTGCACAACACAGGAAGGAGCAACCACCGTGCCCAGAAACAGCACTGGATTTGCTGGAACCCAGCAAATCGGTACCAGGGATATCTTGACCAGGTGGGATTGGAGGTCAAGAAGCATTGCATGAAACGCTATGGATGGACTACAACCTCATCCCATGTCATTCTCCGACTCCGATGGTAAGGTGAAGATCCTGGGCTGTGTCTGGTGCCCAGTCATTGGAATCCAAACCGTTCACCAACCCAAGCGATTTGCAATCTAGGAAGGAAGAGGTTTGAGCTTAAAACCATCCCCAGACATCCGGGGGTTTGACCTCTTCGAAGCCTTGGGCTACGAGCCGCCATTTTGCAAGGCACATCGTCACATTGTTTTGTAGCCATGTCAGTTTTCAGTCTGGATCTAAAGTATCCATACGTGATGTAAGATGTATGTAGTGCATATACTGTATATCTACATCATATAATATATGATGTATACAGCACATTATACCCTTGCATCTCTTGTTCCCTACGGGGTACGCAGCACATTAACATCGCATGATCTTTGGAGGTAGGAGTTGCAAGGTGTTCAGAAACCCACACGTACACTGGGGGAGTACACAGAGACATGTTTGAGACCGTTCCTCTCCAGTTCGACCATTTGATCACCGATGAGGTCTACACACATTTTCACTTCGATCACTGTGGGGGCGATGTGCATCCTATGCTGCTTGGCCAAATCAAGATTGCATCCAATGCCTGACAGATCTCGAAGGGCTTGAATGGTTGATAACTTGGGCTTTGAATGGTTTGACCGAGTATAGATGCCCCCCCTGCCCTCCACCTCAGATGGTCTTCTCGAGACCACCCGGCAGAGAGAGTTGGCTGATCTAGATATCCACGCTGCAACAGCTGTTCGTGATCCCGATGCTGCACGATGCCCAAGGTTCACCGGCGGCCAAAAGGCGCCTGCATGAGCCGCACGCGCCGGCGCGCGGAGGGCGCGATGTGGCAGGTGAAGCTGCCTGGCGCCAAAGAGGTGGAGGAAGCTGGTGGTAAGATCTGGGCTGGCAAGGCTGGGGGGTTCCAGGGAAATTTCGCTGGTCGGGAGCACACGTCACAGAGGTTGAGGGGTCCTCGGTTGTTGTGATCAGGGGTTTAGGTGCAAGGATTTGCAGAGGGATGGTTCAGAGTTTGCACGACAGTTTTTTTCTGATGGCACTGTATCCTTCCGTCCAGGAAGATGCTGATGCCATTCAGAAGCAGTGCTCGCTGAAAGAGGCTGAAGATGAGAGTCGTTCTTTGAACTGCACTCTTTTGCTTTGCCATTCCTGTTGAAATGGATGTGAATAACCTAATAGGGATACAATAGCTGAATAGTCAGAAAAGATTGAAGCCGTGCGCAATGACACAGGTGCTTCCCATGCGGGATGGAGATGCTTCGGGCTCAGTCATGATGACCAATCCACTTGCTGCACCTCAACGCGTGCCCAGGTGATTCCTTGTGGAGATCTTCTACTCCACATCATTCGGACACCTGGACACACTCCAGGCCAACGGAGCACATCTCCAAATCAAAGGACTGTGTTATTTCATGCTGTGTGGAGAGCCCAGTTCTATGTTTGTCCAGGGTTTTCCACCACTGACCAGTTAACTCCCTTGTCCAAAGATCACTAGAACTTACACACACAACACCTAGAAACCACTTCTGCGGCACCGAGCCCCTTTGCCAAGCTGACAGGCTCCATTTGCGTCTTTGCGGCGCCACGGTGTTTATCTCCTCGCGCAGAGCCGCACGGCTGGATGAAATCATGGAGGTCCACCTGTGACCTCCTTTTGCTGGGAAATCGTTGATTTCAAAGCATTTACATAATATGTATCTTTATCTTTATACAGATCATACTATTTGTAGATTCATTCTTCTGCCAAAGTGTTTGATTCGAACACTAGGCATCGACCCTTGTGCTTTCATCGGCCCTTTGCGTCCCAGGATGGCTGAATCTCGTCTCAAGGAGGCCCGCAGCAAGGCGGAGGCCGAACATTGCCCAAAGAACAGTGGACAGCATCAAGCAGTGGACACCTGTGGTCCAAAAGTATCGCAAAAAGCATCCAAAAGCAAATTATAACGTTTATAAAGGTCTTGGATGAATTCTTCACCCCCTTCGAAGTCTGCAAGGATGCCGTTGACTTCAATAGTCTGGAAGGATGACATTTGCACCGCAGACAGATGCGACAGCGCCATGTGATCGAGCGAGGAAAGAAGCGGATCGTTCCACGGTCGGTCAACCCCTAGCACTCCTGTAACATCCTGTAACTTCTCTGCACCCAAGTCAACGTGGCGAAGATGTTTGCACATGTTGCAACAAAACCATGAGGATAATGATGGAAACATTGATAAACACAGATGAATCTTGAGACTGGAGAGAATGCTTCGCCAGGCTGGTCTCCTTATCACTGGGGACACGCTCTTCGTGGGATCTTGTGGTCGTACCGACCTGCCAGGTCGGGGGAGCATCTCCATCATCCCTCCCTTCCCGGTGTTTTGGAGTATGTGAACATGTGAACACCTGTAAAACACGGGTAAAAACACACACCCTAATTGGCCAACTCCGACTCCGAGTCGAGGTTTTACAACACCCTAGCTATTTTGATGATACACTGTGCTCAGATGTTTTTTCGTTCGTACATGTTTGTGCGTTGTTACGTGTCTCGTTTTGGTGAATTGTAGTATGCCTGAAGTCAGATGCGATGGTTTCCAGAGGTCAGTCCATTCGCAAGGAGAGTTGTGATGGATTGGGGCCCACGTCAGATCAGGAGTATTCAACAAACCATGGCTTTTCGCGGGTTCTCCAAAAGCGGCATTTTTGCTTTCAAAAAACAAATCAAAGCACACTTCTTGCGTTTGTGGGTCGAAGTAGTCGGGCAGGGGGGGCGGGGCCTTGAAAAAATGGTGCACTGTTTTTCCAGGTTTGGTCCAGATCACTCAACCCCACGTAGGAGATGCTCCCATGGGTGTGCTCAGGGCACCATTTGTTCACCGGGTGCGTTGGGTCCGCGTCACCACCCAGCCCACCACCGCGTTGCCCATATTGGCACACTTATTCGGTGGCACAGTGGATTGATCAAGGGAATTCATGAGCTGAGGAGTCTCGGGTCTCGAGTCGTCACCAAGATACGAAAATAAGCCTGAGGAAGAATCCCAACACCTTATTGTATTGTGTATTTTAAAGCTACATCACAAACAATCCAAATGATGATGATGATGATGATGATGATGATGATGATGATGATGATGATGATGATGATGATGATGATGATGATGATGATGATGATGATGATGATGCATAGCCTAACTGAACAGCTTACCAGTCACCATCTTTCATTTCCCTTGAAAAAAGCTAGTTTCCGACGGGTTGCCCTTTCCCCTGCGTGGGGCTAGATTGCAGCTATGGTACTGTAGTACTGGTACGGCGTAGGAGGTCATATTGAATCTTTGCAGCTCTTGTAGGACTGTCGCGCGCCGAAGCCTGTTCCACTTTGGATGACAAACCTGCATGCAGGGAAACCTCCAAAGTGCGCTTTGATTTTTGTAAGCAATGCAAAATGTAGGCAAAAACGGCGAGCCCGGCTTTTCGGGCCAAAGGTTTTTCGAAGGTGCCCAGGGCTTCTCGTCCAGGCTCTGACCCGCGAGACATGTTCAGCTCCTTGGCAAGGCTGGTGGTTCTGACCTTGTCGTCGGTTTCCCGGTTGGTTCACGTGGATGTGGAGCGTGCACGCGATTCAAGGCGTTACACACACACACACTCTGTTTGTCTCTCTCTCTTTCTCTCTCTTTCTCTGTCGTTTATTTTTCTTGTCCTCCCCATCCTTACATTTGTTTGTTTGTCTGTCTCTCTGTGCCAGTCTTTGTGCTACATTTCTCTACAAATCAGGGTTTTGTTCGGCAGATTCCTGAACAACAGCGTATACAAGTCTGCAGACCGCCATGATGATTTCTCCATTACATTTTCAGGTCAGAGCAGACGATTGACAGATTGACATGTTGAGTCGTGGCAAGAAAAACCGGCTGCGGGGCAGGCTTAGCACCATGAACCCTGCTGTGGTGGTTTGTCCAGGCTGGCAGCAGTTAATGACCAAATTTTAAGTGCCATTGCAGGCCCTTGACCACAACAATCTTTGCCATTTGCACATAGTATGAGCCACCAGATCAAGGATGATGTGAGCCATGAACCATTACCCACTTTGTTCACAAGAGTCGAGTTTCTGCTAGGCCACAACTATGCCGAGGAACCCTTCTCCACCATCGGGGCCGAGCGTGTAGCCAACCCCAGTTTCGGATCGGGCCGCTTCCAAACTGTGCAGTTCCACCAAAGTGCGTTCATGTTCTCTCAGACGAGCACTCATTGGCACTCGCATGGGTGAAGGTTCTTTTTGCGTTCTTGTTCTTCCATCTCTTCCCTGAGCACCGCAGTTCTCCCTCCTGTTCTTGCAGATTCGAACATATTGAAAGGCTCCCTCTCATTTTTCTTTTCAATGCGAGCTTGATGAACAGCTTGTTTGTTCAGTGATGTTCAGCGGCGCCTTGCTTCCGTTGCGAGGCGCAGAATGAGATGGTGAAGATGGGCCTCTCCCACTTTCCCGAGCCGCCGGGGCCCACAACGGTATATTTGGTCCTTGTTCGTGCGCTGTTTCTGAAGCAGCGGCATGTTTGGGCTCCCCAGGCCACCGGTGCCTCCCTGCGCAATGCTGGGGTGCTCAGATGTGGCCGCTCCGGTGGTCTGTGGTCAGTCGTCAGACTGAGCCTTAGGCTGAGCCTCAGGTGCGTGGCTCAGAACACTTTGATACCTTTTCTAGACCGTGGCTCAGACATGTCTCCCATCCAAGAAGGGGTGTTTGTCTATGTGCGCTTTCTACCACAGGCTCTGGGTTCTATTTAGGTTGTCAAATTTGATCTTAGTGAAGCGCTGACATGTTTTCTTGGACCATGTGTGGTGGAAATATAGATGGAAATACCAACTACTGCACGGCAATAGATTGATCTTATAATCTCAACCACGCAAACAAAAGTCATGTCAAAGACCCCTTTGTTGCAACCAGAAAGCACACACTCTCTTCCATTTGATTGGTACCATGCAGGAATCACCCGTTCCACCCTCGAGCAAAGAGGGACAAGGATTCACTTCGTAGCACCTGCGAAGTCCGCGCAGTGAAATTCACGATTTGGGTTGGATGACCTCACCAGAACCGGACCGCACTGTGATGTTGATCACGTCGTTTGGAACCGGCTATTTAAGCAATGACGATATGTCCGGGATATTTGTGGGCTGTAGGGGTTCCCATGGGTTCTCTGCTTCTGCAGACTACTTTGTTACCTTGATTGGAGGGATTCCATGCAGGGCAGTTTCTCATATCATTATGATGAATTAAATTCAACGTCTTTTTCTCCTTCCATCTTCCTTGATCTCCATTGCTTTTTGTAACCGCACCATGTGCAACACCTCCTCTCACCGCCCACCGAGCTGCCTCGCACAGGTGTGGTACCGGACAGCCCTGCGGGCCCAAGGGCTTCCGAATCGGCCGCCGTGCGCGGATCGTGAAGCTCACCTCCGAGCAGGGCCAGGCACCGGTTGGCCGGGGGCATGTGGACCTGTTTGGGTAAGGAGTGAAGGGCCATGAAGGGACCCTTATTAAAAGAAACGTTTTGGACATATATTTGATCATTTTGATCTACTTATAGGTTTGGGACGCCTATAGAAGGTGAGGATTGAGACATGGATTTTATTCATTTGAGTTGGAAGTTGAATGAAGTCAATTCGTAGCATGTAGCCATATAGCCTAGCCATACAGCAGCACCCTACAGTGAGGAGGCACCAACAGAAAAGGCATTGGGCATTGTGCTGGATTACATTTTAATTCTATTTATATATATTTATTGTTTCTAATAGCTTCTTGTTACTAGTAGTTAGTAAGGCCAGGAGGCCCCTAGTAGCTTCTTGTCATTTCTTGTCTTAATTCTAGTTATATTTATTTATTGTTTCTAATAGCTTCTTGCTCCTAGTAGTAAGGCCAGGAGCCCCTAGTAGCGTCCTTGCTCCTAGTAGCGATGCCCTTTGTTCCTAGTAGCTTCTTTGTTCCTATCCCCCCTATACAGAAGTAATGTCATAGGATCTTTGCTGGATTTATCCTCAGGTCTTGAACGGCCAGGACTGTGTTGTCGAGAGCTATGCGTCTTGCTTGCATCACCAGTTACCTTCGTTGTTGTTCGGCTGGGTAGGCTTGGGTTTTGGTTTGGTCATGAGAAAAGACTTTCAAGCTGTCACGTTAGTAGCCCAGTCGAGCCAGTTGCAGTAAGATGCAGCAAGTGGGATCTTGAGAGGACCATTTTTGAGGATCTCCATAGCTGCGCATCCCCTCCATGGTTTCAGTGGCCTTTGGTTTTTTGTTTTCTTTTTCGCGGCTAAGATGGAAGAACGAGAGAGATATGCAGTTCGGTGGGCTTCTCAGCTTTGTGAAACTGGACGATTCGCTTGAAGGTACAAATCGTCCGTGGTCGATCTCCATTCTTCATGACAATGTGAGCAACCACTTTTGTTTAGGCTTTACTAAAGTAGTCAGCTCGCTCTATTTGCTTGTCTATCATCAGTATTCGCTTGTGAACGAGATAGGGCCCCCCAAAAGCGAGATATTTTTGCTTGATGACACAAACTGAACGAGATCGTGTGATCTGCTACTAAAGTAGTCTGAACGAGATACTGTGACATGACCTCCTACTTAAGTAGTCTAAACGAGACAGATAGATAGGGCCGCCCCCACATGATAGATAAACGGTGTATAATATATTTGGGTTTAGTACCAAATAAATGCCGCCGCACATGTGATTTGGACTTAGGATGATTGATGCATCGGCGGTCAAAGTGCTGAAACCAGCAACACCCTCAGCCGTTCTCACTGCAGGATCATTCGCACTTCCTGACAGCTGAACAGAGAGGTGTTGCCCAAAGTGCAAATTGGGAACTGGGTGTGTCTCAGGATGCAGGTCTTCAGAAAGATTTATAATTTATTATGTATAATTTATGGTTTCACACACGGAGTTGTGGGGTCCATAAATGATGACACAAATCTAACTGCGCTGTGATGACGCGCAGTTCCAAGGAAAACCTGGAGAAGCCCGAGCTTGCGGAGTGAGGAAATCTGCAAAGTCAGACTTGGTTTTTCGACCACTCAGTACATAGAGATCGAATCCAGGTGACACCAGGACATGCAAAAAAGACATCATAGATTCATAGATCATAGATCTCGTTTTTTGATGTTTTTGTTGTTGTTTCACATTTCTTGTTCCTTGGCGGGTCCCCTATTCTGATCAGATGGGTCTGCGAATTTAGGACCCTTGTGCGAAACCGAGAGCACGTGCCTGCATCGTCCTGACTTTCAAGTCATAATAAAATCTGTCTTATCTCAAATTAAGTTTCCCTAAAACTCTAGGAACCAAATCATTCCGGCCCTCAGACGGGGGGAGCTTCCTTGAAGAAGCGTGAGCTATCCTGCGTCCTACCTAGAAGCTAACTTAGCCTAGTAGCTTACTCTCTTGCTTGATTACAGTAAGTAGGCGCCACTTATTTAAGTACGGAGGCAGGGCCACAGGCTAAAACAGTTATTAGCAGGGTTGCCCTAGGGCAAGCAATCAGATGAATCCAGAAAAGCCAGTGGAACGCTCAGAGTTGAAGTGGGGAACAACACAATTTGCAACGCTGTGCTAAGTAACATTGGAAAGAATAGAAGGTTTGGAGTTTGGAATCTCCAAAAATCTGTGCGGATGACTCCAGGCACTTCAGCCCTTTCTCCCGTTTCAGAGGACGGACGAATTTGCTGTTTCAGGTGGCCTTTTGTGGCACTCAAATGTCCATTTCATTGTATTCAATCAGATTAGGATGAGATGACATTGAGTGAGCTGTCAAAGGTGTCCCAGAATGGGTAAAGGCGATACCCCAGAACTGGCGGAACTGTGGTCCACATGGGTTCAAGGAGAGACTGCAGAGAAGTGTGGCGGCCTTAGCCAGACATGATTCATGCTGCTGTAGTCTCAGCATTATGGGGCTGAGATCAAGATTGCTTCTAGTGAAAGAAACTCACTCTAAATAGCAATCTTGCAAATCTGCAGCTTTCGTCCAATACGCACCACTGGAGCCTACTGTCATAAATTCTAAATTGAATGAGGCTGGGGCTCAGCTGCTCACTCCCAGTTTGTAATAAGAGCGCTCAAAGAACTTCATCCATTTCTCGCTTCTTTTTCTTCGGCTGAACTGTCTGAGCAGAACTGATGAGTCTCTATACGTGGGTATGGATAGAAAGTGTTGTATGTGGCAGGATTGGTGGATGAACATTCATTTGGCTACCGCAAAGCTTTGACACCTTGTGACCCATCACAACAGCTTTTGTCCACTCGTTCTGACTGCTTGCCGAGTCTCCGAAGAGAAGCGGGAGGCACGCCCGTTGTGTCAGATGATCATCCAGAGGACTTGATCGGTCTCCACCCCACCGCACGCACCTGGCCAGCCACCCAGCCACCCAGCACTTGCAGCGTGTACATCCGCACCTCATTACCTCTAGTGACTCTAGTATGCCGCCGGGTACGCGCGGTAGGGTGCACGGCAAACTTTATGAATTAGGTACAGAAAGGTGTTGTATGAAAAGATTGCAATAAAAAGACAAGCCGAGTCCCTGTCCATGCAAAACAGAGAGCCAAAAACAAGGCACCAGAGAAAACTCAACTGCATTGAAAAGAGACAACTACTACGTGAAACGGAAAGCGACGAAATAGCATGAGTACCGGCATGACATCATGGCACCGGGTATAATATACTTGGCCCTTGGCCGAGCATCTAATAGGGTGGTTGCGCACTTCGGTGCGGCACGCACTTGTCCACGATAGGTGAGCTTTCGAGGGTATGTAAGGTGGGATCACTGACCACACGATGGACCTCTTACAGGTTTGTATTCAAGTTAGCAATGCAGCATGTCATGCGATAGAATTCTTGTACATGGATGACCTATCACATGATTGGCCCAGGGCCCAGCTGTTGTGGGGTCTCCATGGGCGTTCCTATTCCAACCGATACCAATTCTTTTTCAGGAGAACATTGCCTCCTAGCAGTTTGAAGCTGTCTTGAGATGAACCTCCGGGGGGGTCTCAAAGAAATTCGATATTTCTTGGTGTTGCTAGAACGGAACTTAATTTTTTTGGGGGCAACGACGGCACTACCATCGAGCAGCCACTGCAGGCCGCACTCCGGACCTGCCACCGCTCCGGAACGACGGGAAAGGCCAGGCCAAGGCGGAAGGGCTCGATGTTGCCCCGCTCCAGTGATCAAGTCATCGCCAAAAACGAAGATTCCTCCCGTCTTGGCAGTTGGACTTGGACTGTAGCCGCCACTGTAGCTCAAGACTCAAATTTGAAGTGTTGGGGCTTTGGGAGTCAAGTCAAGAGTCATGAGGAAGGTACAATACAAAACTGGCCGATCCATCCATGGGTATCAGGCCGACGCCTGAGCTACACCCCCCCGCGGCGCCACCCTCCAGAGGAGGCCCTCGGATGGTTGGGATGTGAAGTACCCGACGTGTTAGGTTCTTGCTGAGAGTTCGGACCGCGCTTGGCTTTCGGAAGCAGCTCTCTGGAGAACACAACCCGATGATCTTCTTTACAATACTGGGGGGTGATTGTAAGATGATAGATTAAATATAGTCTTGTAGTCAATCAAAACCTGACTGTTCTTGATTTGATTGCCAGGGTCTTGTACCATGGTCGGGAACCACTCGGTACTTGTAGCCAGTGAGAATGATGGTAGTAGTCCAACTTTACGGGCTTCAAGACCCAGCAGCGGAAGTGAAGCAACAAGCTTCATGTGTACCGTTATTCTTGGCTTTTTCATGTTGGATTTGCTTCAGCCGCTCTACCAGCAGCTGTGCACATTCTTTTTCCGGCACGACTAGATAAAACTCATGATGGCCTTGGGGCGCAAGGCCTTGGGCTGAATTAATGTAGCCAAAACATGTTCAGAGGCAACTATGACACGGCTTGACCCGCTCAGGACACTGTGGCTGGTAGTGGGAGAGGCCGCGGTTTGGAGAGACGCAGTATTAATACCTTTGCTCGTTGTGGCGCTGCAGGCTGTTCAGAATCTCATCCTTTCTTGTCAGACATTTGCCTAAACGAGCCCTGTGAATCATGATTAGCAAGCTAGTTAAGCAGCATGCAGCTCGATGATCCGGTGAGAAAGAAGCTTTATTAATGCTTGATGATCCGAATTTATGAAGACTTTGTAAAGACTCAAGACCCAAGAATTCTTCCGAACAATTTTGCTCAACTGAATCTCTCACATTTGATCAAGGGATACTACTAGGAGCAAGGACGCTACCCTTTAAAGTCCGGATCGTTTTGAGATGGGCCTGAAGTTCACCAGGTGTCTCGCCAGATGCCGTGGCAAGTGACAATGCTCGTTCACCAGGTGCGAAGCAAGTGTTGATAGCACCTCTTGATGGGGCACATTTGTGTTCCAAATGGGATCCACAGCCTTGCAACGTGGGGTTTTCATGCAGATGTTTCGAGAAACATTTGAAGCCCTTCATCCCGACATCAATGTATCGTTTTGTGGCATAGTCCAGTAGGGTGAGAGACTTAAAGACCCCAGAACCATGGATGACCCCTTTGAAGCCAGGAGCAAGCTGAGAAGACATCGATCAAACTCACCAAGTACAGCTAAAACCAAAGACTTGATCTTAACAATATACATTATATATCCACCATTCAATCAAACAAAAGACAAACAGATCAAACAGATATAAACATATATATATATTGTATTGTAAAGAACTGAATCAGTCAATCAAGCATAAACATAGCATAAAGTATAAACATTGTCAGTAGCACAGATGCTTACCACGCTTGACAGCTGACCAGGTACTGGCGAAGCCATGCAGGACACTTCCATCCAGTGCAATGTTGTGCAGCGGAATGATTTACGATAAAGCGTGGGATGCAGGATGTCGATGTCGACGTATGTTGATGCATTTCCATGTCATATGTGTGGACACTTATTTGTTTGCGACTTTTTTTCTGGTGCAGTTGGCTCTTGGCCGTTGGGGTTCTTCCTCTGTGATGTCATTGTTCTGGATCAAAGAGGAGGTGATGTGGAAGACACATCACAGACGACGAGAAACCCTCCGCTTCTTGTCTACACCAACCTTGATCTGGATTCGAGATGACCACTTACAATGCGGTTTACTTATCCACTTCCAGATTGCGAAAGACTCAAATGTTTCTGACCGAGCACCAGCTGCTGGTTTAGGGTTAATCTGGGGGCACGCACTCCATTCGGGGAATCAAGCTGAGACTGGATGCACTTTTGATTAAACATTGTAGCAGCCTCTGGCTCCCCAGAAGGTGGACACAGCTGCCGCAGTTCCTACCCTACACCACCTGCCATAGCCAAACAGAGGAATACCCTTTTATTTGTTTGCTTTTAACGCAGTTGCTGGTTGCTCATGAATGGCACCGGAAAAGTTGAATCCAGGACCAGGAGAAGCAGCCCATGCTTTATGCATGCTCCTGAGCGTACATGCTTGAAACCAATTGAGTGCAAGAGAGAGAGAGAGAGAGAGACAGACACTGAGAGACCCGCATATAGCATAGTGTTGTCCTTTAAGCTTTCCAGGACTGAGTGAGAACCAGGCATCCAACTGGAAGTGGACCTTGTATATAATCGAGGATAAAGTGTTAGGATGCTGATGGGCATCATTCACAGTGCAGGATACTCGTCATGTTGTTCTCGATTTGATGACTACTTTGCTGGTGGCAATAGTCTTTGCTGTGTGGTGGCAAGCTGAATCTCTTTTGCCTTTGACATGAGGCGACATGAGGTATGTTGCTTTATGGCATCACTGCGGCGTGCCAGATTCCACATGACACTTTCAATTTATCACCCAGAAGTGCCACCGAGTCTGGTGTATCAACCCAGTGACAGACCGCGGGTGCTAGGAGCTGGAATGTGGGTGAACCTCCTAGTGAACAGCATGGGTTCAGCGGCAGTTGCAGCATGGGTTGGTTTTGGACCTAAATCCTGTTGATACAGACACCTCGGGTGTGGGTCCCACACGCGCGATTCGCGCAGTGAGGTGGATGTGAATGTAACACCTGGGCAGCCCCCAGAGCGTATCGTGCTCTTCCAGGCCGAGAAAAAGAAGAAGGAAAAGGAAACGGAGAAGGAGACACTATACCCTGCCAAAAAAAATAAGGCTTCCACAAGTTTCACGGTTCCAACATGTTTCAATTGGTTTCCAATGTTCAGTTATTTTCCATCAGGGGGATTCACTGAACTCTATCTATTTTGATCTATTTTGTAATTTTTGGATATTTTTAGTGAGGGAGTGAAGACAGGGAGTCTTTTGCAGCCTTCTGGCCCGCACTCCAAGTTAATTTCATGCACATTTGGGGAGAGCATTGTGTTCTTTGTTTTGTGGGGGGTGGGAGCGAGCGAAAATGTGCCATCAGATGTGCCGATGTGAAGGCATGGCCAGATTTCAGTCCAACGGAATCATTTGATATCATTTGTATTTTGTGGGTTCCGTTTCTTGAGGCCCCGGTCAGGCAGTCAGGCGGGTCCTCTATGGAGATGAGGTCAGTGCTTAAGTTTAATAATTGGGATGGAGATCAATTCACTGTGCAGTGGATGTTTGGGCTGCAAAACCATGTGGGATGGCCAGAAGGTCCCACAGTGAAACTCTCTATACTAGCCGAGATCAGCTAGTCTTGAAATTATTGAACACACGACAAAAGCCCAAATGTATATAAGATTATATATATATATAAGTTTTATACTCATTCCGACTCATCTCATGGATTTTTGAGTTTAATCTAGATTCTATGATTCCTTCCTCCTCAGTTGATCCATCGAAGAGGCTTTCGGCCAGACTTCTCTGGATAACCTACAACTCGGACACTTCCCGGCACGGCCACCACAACCATGCCCATCAGGGGCAGAACATCAGCGAAGTGGCGGCTGAGTTTGCTGCCAAGCACGTGCTGACGCCGGCCATGGCGCAAAAGCTGCACAGCCTACTCCGCGAGGCGGTGTCGGAAGCAGCCAAGTCTTCACATTCTCACCGTTTGTGGTACTTGTGCGGACGATGCCTGGTAGCCGCTTGTAGCCAGGCTTTGGGTGTTGAATTCGGCACTTCCATGACCAGGTGGTCCTCAAGCAGGAACTCCAGAACCATACCACACCTTGAGCGGGCAAAGAGGCACCCGCACGACAAGCGCTCGGCTCGGGGTTTGTCGAAGGGCTGGCTAGGGGGATGAGAGCTTCAGGATACCATTACTTCGTGAGAACTAATTGCAGTCTGGTCAGGGGTCTCACCAAAATCATATCCAAGCAAACCAAGGCTCCTATCGTACTCAGACGTCCGCTGGCACCTCAACACTAGAAACATCAGAACAGGTGAACATCCAAGGATGGTAGATTGCTTTGTTCATGCCTTGGGATGGGAACCAGGTACAAGGTTTTGATTGACCTGTACACGTGTCTCTAGATTGTGAATGAGTCCCCAAGCTTCGGTTGACGTAAAAGACACCAATGATCACCACATGAGCGCATAAGAGTGCGTGTTGGACCTATCAAGGAAGGTTTCATCATGTTTTGTACCGGTGAGAAACAAGGTTTCCACAGGTCCCATAGGTGCCCTCCTTCGTCAAGGAGAGGCCAGGAGAGCGTTTGTTTTTTCTTGGACCTGACCGTCTTGGACTCTGAAGATGAGGCGATGCCATGACCGTTTACAGCTAAACATGTCCGGAAGGACCCCGCATGACAAAGCAAATAAGTAGTAACAAGAAGCTACTAGGAACAAGTGCCACGCTAGTAGTAACAGGTGCCTTACTAGTAGTAACAAGACGCTAGTAGTGGGTCTTTGGTGATGCTCGTGAGAGGTGTCATCACTCCCGATGTGGTCATCCGATGTGGTCTGGAATTCTTGAAGGTGTGGACTCCGGCAAGAGGAAGCCCTTTCTCATCAGCGCTGATGAGCTTCTCATAGAAACGGATCACAGGATGTTGCTTTCAAAGAACGATCGTGAGAGAGGGTAGGACAGAGTCCTGAGAGTGTTACACTGTTCCTTCGATTTGGTCTCCCCAAAAAAGAAACATCCTGGTACTCCACATCTGTGAGTTTCACGCGAATTGGCAGTTCGTTTGGAAACTGTCGTGTAGGCTCCGGTCACATCGCAGATGTCAAAGACTTCAGAGACAAACCGCTCGGAGCGGGTCACCCCGGGGAGCTGTTTTCAAAACAGACCTGAAGACATGATGAGAGATGTGGAGTGCAAAGTCCTATAACCTGAGGCACCTGAAAGTCACCTCCGGGCTATGTAGGACTTTGTTGTATGGGATGGAAATCCTTTGCGGGTGTGAAGGAGAATGACAATCAGTGTAAATTCATGGTAGATGCTTTAGAGATTTCGAAACAAGAAGACCCCGCCCCATGCCTTGCACAGCATCTCAATTCTTGGATATATTGACAATACATAAGGTATGTTGACCTGATTTCGGGACAGTCCCTGAGACACTCAAACCTTCCATTTCAGCAATAGTCTGAATCCAGAAAACCAGAACCGTTTCCTGGGTTCCCAGCACCCACAAAAGCGTATTCTCGATGGGTTGGTAGATCCTTCGATCAGCTCCCGGGGCCGCACCGCCCGACGCCGCCAATGACGTCGCAGCACCGACCCCCGACTGAAGCCGATGGGAGAAGGAGGTGGATCAACCAAGAAGGCAGTTAGGTTATTGTGACCTTGGTATGATTTTGGCCAGCAGGTGGTTCATTGGTGCATCCTCTAACATGTGCCAAGTCATTGTTTGTTGTTTTAGACTTTGTATTGTGAATGGAAGAGAAGACCTGTGGCTATGGATCACTTACAGGGCCCAGTGTTGGGATACCCGGATACTCACCCTGCTAATGAAAGACGTCTTGAGTGGTGCAAAACTAACCCTGAAAGAAACTGATAAACAGCTATTCTGCTGCAGCATGGCTGTTTCATGTTTGTTGTTGCAGTCTCAGTCATCGGCTTCAGTCAGGTGATATCTGATATCGGATTGTTCAAACGATATCGTGGAAAAAAAAGGGGGTGGAAAACCATAAAAAGCAAGCTTGTGGAACCCCGACTTGGCTGCTGAGTTTTGGATCAATTCGCAGCGAATCACCTCGCCGACCTGTCCAACATTCTTTGACATCGATGTTGAGGTAGGGTTCGAGTTGAGCCCAGGGCAATGGGGGAGCAGCCAAACAGATGCTAACAGTCCTTTCCTCACAGAGTTTAGAGGGTTAAAGAATGTGAAAGATTTGATCCATAAACTGATGGAGTGGAGCGATTGCATATATTATGATTATTATGTCTGCAGCCAAAGATCTCATGCCAGAGTTCCCCACCAACGACGCTCGACGTACAAGGATCATGCCTTTGAAAAGGGGGGGCCAACCATTGAGTGCAGGGCTAGGGCTAGTTTCGTCATATTGGATGGAACAACTGCTTGTAGCGTCTGAAGCTGGCAGCAAATTGGATACAAGAAACGTCATTGCCGGGCATGAAGAGCAGACACTCTTTGCCCACAAAACAAGACATTTACCTTCACGTACTGACGAAAGTGGATGGAATTGCACGAGGTCCAAATATGACATGAATGAGAGGGCAAGATGAGTGAGGCCATGATGAGTGGACTGATAAATACCAACAGCAACACCGACACCTTCATGCTGAAACCAGCACACATCACCACCCCAACAACAGCAACAGCAACAAACAAGAACAAGCAGTATTTAACCCACCTCACCGGCCATTCCCTCCTCGGCCTCTCAAACTCCGCTGCCTCCATGGCGTGCCATGGGCGCCGTCTTGCGGATTTGCCCTTCGCGCCAGGTCGGAGTGAAGGAAAGCTGAACGGAGCTGACTACCGCGGGATTCCAAAATGAGCTAATCCCATCCAATCCCCATTGTTTGCCTCAATGCCCTTTTGTGGCTGTGAAGCTAGCCTCGCCTAGCTCAAGAATCAGACCAAGTAAACCTGAAGCCGCTCTGATCCGAATGAACTGACGTATTTGTGTAGCAGCTTTCTGGGAGACTCTAATTTGTCAAAACCCAGCTTCACTTGCTGCATCCCCAACCCTGTTGAAGAGTGTCTCCAGAAATGGTCGACGAGTCGAGGACAAGACCTTTTGTTACTAGTTGCTTCTTGTTCCTGGTAGTAAGGCCACCAGCTACTAGTAGCGTCCTCTTGCTCCTAGTAGCGATGCCCTTTGTTCCTAGTAGCGTCCTTGTTCCTAGCTTTGCTGCATTCAGCACCGGTGCACCTCTCACGCCAGCCGGCAAGCCGTGCACGCGTGGCCTCGAGAATCAACGAGCCACGCAGCCCCAGCGCAGTGATGCGCCAGGCTCTGGGTGCAGCGGCATTCATCAGCGGGGGGTTGCACCGTCATCATGTACCGAGTAAGAGGACTTCAGACTCAGAAGACCCATAAAAGATATGTAATTTAAGGGACATAGAACGTTCCACTGTCAAGCTAGACGAACTGAATGTGGGAAAGCGGCCAGGTGCTTTTCGAGGACGAGGATAGCCAGGCAGGGTTTGTAATGAGGTTGTTGGCGGTGTAGAGGTTTTCATTCAAGCGGTTTCAGGAACAAACGGATAGTCTGGGTTCTGCCCACACAAGGTTGAGTCCTGGAAGCTACGAGGAACAATGGCAGTACTACTAGCAGCAAGACACTACTAGGTTGGAGGCCATCGCTATTAGGTCGGAGGCCATTACTAGTAACAAGAAGCTACTAGTAGCAAAGGGCATGACTACTAATTTCCAAGAGATTTGCTCATGGAGGCGATTGTGGTCCCTTCGGGAGACGAATCTACAGAGGCAGAGAGGCACGACAAAACTGGCCCACGGATGGAAGACCGGCAATGAATGCGCGTCAACATGCCATGAAGCAATCATAAGCCATTATGAACCAAACTCGGGCCATAGGATATCACAGGATGCAGGTATATACTTCTATAATCTTCTATACTTTCACTAGGAACAAGGACGCTACTAGGGGCTCCTGGCATCGCTACTAGGAGCAAGGACGCTACTAGGGCTCCTGCCCTTACTACTAGGAGCAAGGACGCTACTAGGAGCAAGAAACTACTGGGAGTTCTTTCCTTTGCCATCGATGTTTTCAGTTCAGTACTTACAAAGAACCGTATCGGCGGCTTTCACTCTGCTAGGTCTGGCAGCTCCTCCCAGTCCCGGCAGGCGAGGTCGTGGGTGACCGGGGGGTGGCCAGAGCTTGTGGTGTAAAAGAGTCCAACATTGGTTCAGGCCCGGGAATGCTCAGGAGATTGTTATACAGATATCATGCCATTATTATGCATTATTTCACTTTTAATTTATGAGACATGGTGCAAAATTGGGCCTAAGGTGTTTGTTTGGCTTCACCCAATGGTACGAGTTAGGCTAAGCTTTGGCTTCAAGGAAGGAGGGAACCATGCGGCTCATGGATTCTTTCCGCCAATCACCGAAGCCATTTATATAAAATGAGCGATTTTCATGGAATCTCTACCTCCTGAAGCTCTTCATATCTCTTCATCCTGAGGTTGATGCAGACTCAAAGGTGAAGAAGGTTCGGCTGGAGGGTCGGCAAGAGCGCGGGCATCGACCCTCCAACAAGTCTCGTGCATCGAGAGAGTCTTTCGAGACAGGTCGTCCGCTTGTCACTGGGAGAAGTGGACGGGCTTAATGAGCGAAAATCCCGGTTTCGGAGTGCTAAGAAACAGCGAACGAAACGGATTGCTCGGAAAACAGCTTGGAATTCTTTTCACTGGGGCAGCTGGGTGCATTTGCCTCGTGACACCAGTATACTGTATACGAGTTATATCGGGTTGTTATTTGATGTTATTTGGTTTCTTTAGGATTTTGATAGAAAGACAACATCATGGCAAAGTGGCGTGAAGGTTTTCCTTCTTGCAAAGCCAAATACGCTATTTTCACCCAGCCCTGAAAAACCGCCCCAGCAACTACCCATGGCTCGCCATCAGCCCGAAAAGGCTCGTCGGAGGCGCGGTGAGGTTTTGGAGGCTCACGAGCGGGTCGGGGACATTTGCAGTGAAAGCTGGGGCCGTTCACTTCCTGCAATCAACTGAGGAGCAATAAGTAATTCAGCATGTTTCAAGAACTGCCGGCAGCCACCCTCCCAAGCACGCTCGCCGGTGTTCTTGCGTTCAGGACATGGATGCGTGGCACTGTGCCCAATCCATCGGTGAAGCTGCAGGGTGCTTGTCTTCTGCGAGCGCATCGGTCTGATCCTGAAATCGGTCACATTGGCATTTGTGGAGTATCGGTTCGGAGGTAGAAGCTGTGCATGGAGTGTGCTCTTAAAGTAGCCGTGGACACAGTGGTCCAAACAGGCCACGAAATTAGCAGAGTTTGTGCCAAGGTCACCAAGCTGGCGCTGAGAGGTGTACCCCTCACAGATGAGGAGTGAAGACTGAAGACTACGTAGGGACGTAGGGAAGATGTCATTCGTGTGCTTGAGAATAACCTGGCAATCTAAGGTATTCACTCATTGACGAAGCGAATGATCTCTTCTTCGGTGAAACGTTGTCAAACATCTCGTGGCGTTTTTGGCTCGTGCTCGAGCCCGGCTCCGCGGCTGGGCCTATCGTCAGATGAAGCGATGCAGCTGACCAGAGCTTTCTTACGTTTCCTGAAGCCATGTGCAGTTCCATTTTCTCTTCAAGTTCTCCATGAGCGTAGGCGAGGCAGATGCACAGGTGAGTGAGGGGGTCAGGTATTCTCAAAGACCTGCACGTTGCTTATTATGTTGTTGCTATTCTGTACTGTACGTAGATGACATGGTTTTTGCATTTTCTCCACTTGGGCAAAGGCTTGCTGGAATTAGTTGAACGCGTTCGGGGTTCTCTCAATCGCATGAGACTTACCCCGAGTAACCTTGCCGAATTTGCAAAAACCAAGTTGGGTCATTTGTCGGTCAGTGGTCATTTATCTTAAAACCACCTTCATGCTCTTATCTCTTTGTTCCGTTTTCAGTCAAAGCATTCCACCACCGGACCTTGTCTTCCCATAGGACGACGGCTCGGACGGCTCACTGCGGTTCTGCTGAAGTGGTTCGCCCGGAGCTGCGAACGTACTGGGATCAACACAACGGGTCTCGCTTCGATGAGCGCAGCGTGATGGGTGGGCGTTTGGAGCCCTTGAGGCTTGGACATCTGGCTTGGATGGGTTGGATGATGTAAGGGGACGCCACTTGCCTACATAGGTTATCTAACAAAAAAGTATCTATAATATTCTATAATCGTATTGTCAGTATTGTTATATAAAATTGTCAGATATTTTTGATAAAAGCAGCGTTGTCAGTATCTTCCTTTACAAGGGTCTGTTTTGGGATTAACATGGAGGAATACCCCCGAAAAAGAGCTCTATAGAAGGAGCTCGAACACATATTGCAGTTGGCCACTTGGCTTTCACAAAGCCAATAGTTAAATATCAAAGTGGGGATACCCATCAACCATTGGATTTGAGCCGTTCGCACGTTCGCACAGATGGACTGGTCATGACTGGTCTGCAAGGTTCGGTGAACATGCACCGGCACAGGCGGGTGGCACAAGTGGCTGAAGCACTGCTTTGCCGCGCGCACGGTGGCTGGACTACCGTTGTGGACCTAGGTGCCGTGATGAGATTGGCGAAGATTGGCGCATGGGTTGGTCGGGATCTGTTGGGGTGAAGCTTTTCATGTTCAGAAAGAGATTGATCTAATTACTATATCGATCTATATCGTGTGTTATAGTTTGTATAATACTTGGTTTCTTTTGCTACCCTTTTCCAGTTCTGTCAAGCAAATCCACCCACTTGCCAAATCATGAGCTTCATCCACTTTGGGTACCCCCGCTTTGTGCTGCAAGCTTAGACAGGGACCAGACCAGACCTGGATCCCCGCAGTCACCTCTGGATTGTTTGGTCCGGTGTGTGGATATATATATATATATATTGTATTTATATATACCTATATAATGGCAATAGCCTCCAACCCTAAGAGCGATGGACTCCAACCTCCTTGAGATTCTGTAGCCAAGGTTGTGGCACTGGACTTTTCGCTCAATTCCTGGCCAATGTACCTGGCCTGAGGGTGGTGGGTGTAGATTTGTCTGAGGGACACCTGCAGGTCGCCCGCCGACATATGGAGGCTGGCCCAGTCGAACAAGAAGAGGTTCTCGGTAGCTTTAAGATGTCTTTTCTGGCAGCAGACCCTGTTGAGAGAATCCTCTGTCCTCCAGCCTCCAGTGGCCACGCTGGAGGTCATCAAAGCAAGCTACCTGGATTGGGAACCAGATGATTGGACTCCGGATGTGGCAGTGCACAACAATTCCATTGAAGACTACGAGGAGTCTTCGTTGCTGCCAAGCACTTCTCAGCACCAACTTCTTTCCCAATCCGTTGATTGATTTCAGATCGGAGTTTCTTCTCTGGTCTTGAGTTTCATTTGTGTCCATCTTCAGATTGGCAATTGCAGGACTCCGTCAAGCTCTATTTCTTTAAGCACGTCTTTCGATGGCTTGCACCGGGAGGGTCCATGTCTTACTTGCTCAAGAAGCACCAAGATGGATTCTATATGATTCTATCTCACTTATCTCAACTGTCCTTCCATGCCAGTTCCCGCACTTCACCATTTCAAGACACGACTGACTTAAAAAAGACAAGTGACAATTCTTTACCCAACGTTTAAGGTACCTCTTGTTCCAAGCCTACTCACCGCGAGATGAACCCATGGGGCCCTGCATTTCAGAGTGTTCACCCGACTTTGCGTCCAAGCACACCATCTTCCTTTGCGACACGGAAAGATATGCAGAGCTGGCAAGAGATGCAGGCTTTGAGATGATCTCTTCTGAGTTGATCCATAGCAAAGGCCGATACCCTCCATCTGAGAAAACATACCAGAGGGAGTTCATCTTCATCGTCTTCTGGAAGCCTTTGACCTGATCAATGGAACTCCACCATTCCAAGACCAGCGATTGACGCTACTAGGAGCAAAGGGCATCGCTACCAGGAGCAGGACGCTACTAGGGGCTCCTGGCCTTACTACTAGGAGCAAGGACGCTACTAGGAGCAACGGGCATCGCTACTATTCTGGACCGATGGATTGCTGGTGACCGAAAGCACCCCTGACAGCGTCAAGCTTAGAGGGTGCAAGTGAAAGCTGCACAAAAGACGGCCGTGGCTGCGGAAGAGGATAAACTTATGGGGTATTACTCAGTGACTTTGCACTACCTAAGAGGCACATTTGTAAAAATCAATATATACTTAATTTTGTGTACAAAGGCGAGGGTTCTTTTGGCGTTTAACTCAGCCACAGTGCGGCAGCATCCAGGACCAAGAGCTATAGTAGGAAGTGCCCGACGAGGGGCTCTTTGAACAATTCGCGATGTTTTTTCCTTGGAGGGGCACGTCCGCGGCAGGACGTGGCACGGCTGGCGACTTTGCTTGGCGAGAATGTGAACGCCGCTCCAGCTCGTTGCTGGCGGATGGACCATGGGGCTCTGGGGACATCAAGTCCAAATGACACAAAAGTCCAAATGACACAAAACTTATGCAACGACTCTTTGCGCTAGAAGATTGATAGTACAGGGGTTACAGAGTGTTTTCCCACAGCCGTATGCTGGTGAATCCAACCCCAGCTAGCACCCTCCAAGGAATACGAACGTATCACCTCAGTACCAGCCAGAGGAGTCCAGATCTTCTGCATGTAAAACATTCACGGAGCAGGGCTTGCCACACACTCTGACATTGGTTTTCAGTTAATCTGTTCCCAAGTGGAAAAAGGTGAGGGAACGGAAAGGTGCATGAGTCCGCAGAAAAGTATTGTTTAACAAAAGTTTCGCAGCAAGCTCAAGTGAAAGCGGCGATCAGAGGCGGCAGAGCGGAGGGAAACCTGTTTGTGGGGAGTAGCATGCAACAACCATGGAAACAAACCGGAGGAAATTGGAGTCACAGCTTGCGATCACGGCAGGTAGGGATGATCAGTCCCAGTAGAAAAAACAGAAACTCTTAGTTACAGAGGTGGACACTATCGGCGCTCTGGAGGAACTTACTAACCACCTAAAAAGCCTTAGAAAGAAAGAAAAAAAGACAGAAAGGGAAACGCAAAGGCAAGAGAGAAAGATAGGTGTAGTGACGCGGCCCACTAGTTACGAAACCTGCTAGTTACTGAGTACTTAGCCGCATGAATTATATGCACTAGTTAGCGAGTGGGACATTCGCTTTGAACCGCCCGGGTAGCTAGGAGTAGAAAAGAAGAAACAGAAGGAAAGGTACCGACACACAAGTGTGTCGAGTACCATTTCCTTCTGTTACCCTAGATAGCGGGTGGGATAGAAGCACGAATTCGGTTGCAAGGTGGGGGGGGTGCGTGGATGTGCATGTGTGACACATATATATATATATATGGCCGTAAGCCTGGCGGCGTGGAACGTGAGTCGCAACTGGACATGTCAAACTCACAAGCTCACCCGAAACGACTGAATGCAAAAGTGGAGGTATTGTCGTAAGCCTGACGGCGTGGTATTTTGGGAACCCAGTGGTGAAACAAAGTCCGTTAAGAGAATCCAACCTGTGCAGAACGGAAGAAGGTCAGTTAGTGGTAATCCGGAATGAGGACAGCGCTCCCTTGCGGGAGATCACACCCAGCACCCAAGTGGGACGACTGAGCGGTTCACACTCTGACATTGGCTTTCAGTTAATCTGTTCCCAAGTGGAAAAAGGTGAGGGAACGGAAAGGTGCATGAGTCCGCAGAAAAGTATTGTTTAACAAAAGTTTCGCAGCAAGCTCAAGTGAAAGCGGCGATCAGCGGCGGCAGAGCGGAGGGAAACCTGTTTGTGGGGAGTAGCATGCAACAACCATGGAAACAAACCGGAGGAAATTGGAGTCACAGCTTGCGATCACGGCAGGTAGGGATGATCAGTCCCAGTATCGCTAGGAAATCGAGAGTGTCTTCATTGGTGGCAGACTCTCGTTCCTGCTGCCACCCCCTGCGACTTGAAAGTTGAGAAAAAACAGAAACTCTTAGTTACAGAGGTGCACACACACACACGAGATGATTCTTGCACCACGCATTCTACGATGAGGACAGAGCTATTGTTTCAGCTTCGGCAGCGACCTGCAGGTGTCCAGGCTCTCGTTAAATGATTGCCGCGAGCCTGAATGAGCCTGGTGCCGGAAGGGTTGAGCACGTTGTTTTTTAGAAAAACATTGATATAGCTGGTATCTCTGTTGGAGCTGGCTAGACTGAGAAACCATGTTGACATGTCACCTTCCAAGGCTGGGGCTTTGAGACTTGACCTATCCAACTCTACCGCAGAAAACGCTCCCGAGGAGTAAGAGGGTTGCAAGTAGGAACCCAGATGAAGGTTCTGAGACCGTTGAAGAAAGACATGCTGCACTGCCCGAGATTCCGAAGTGGGGAATCCACGACCAACACGGATGATTTACTGACACTGAGGTTCCAGGACTTCCTCCATCGACCGACTGATCATGTCGGTCAGGTGAACTTGCCATGGTCACATTCTCGCATTTTCGACCATTCTAGCAACCCCTCACTGTCGATGGATGGATCTCTCTTGTTTACCTTTTTCGAGCGTTTTGGGGCGAATGCATGCGAATGCGAGGCAACCTGGGCGACCAGGGGGCCGAACATCTCGCAGAGGCTGGACCGTTGGCGTGCCTACAATGCTCACCAGGGTTGGTGCAGTCATGCATCGAACATCATTTAACAATTTTTGTTTTGGTGGCTGCACCACTTTTTGAAAGTGGGGATGGGTTGGGTGGAGATGCCAATTTGTTTCCATTTACCGAACCCATTTTGTCCAATGCAGCTTCGTGTGCTTTCTCTTTCCCTGCGCCTCCACCGAAGAACGGTGCTACAAAGATGATGAGTCTAAAACACCCAAACCAGCTGGCGTGTTGGTGCGTCTACTGTTGTTGCTGGAGTGTTCTTTGCCTGGCTCGCCTGACGGGGAAGGAGCAAGAAAGCCTTGAGTACGAAGTTCCTTCTTCCCAGTGAGACTCTAGAGTCTAGGCATTTAAGCATTTGATGGCGTTTGGTTTGTGTTTTTGCCTTTTTGAGGGTCACACATGTTCCAACACGAAATTTCCGTCGGGAGGATGACAATGGGATAAGATGGCTTCTCTTGTCGCGGATAGTTTGTGAGAAGCAGGGCTTCAGGAATGGCAGGACGAGAGACGTTCACATGTCAACATAGAAACCGCATATTGAAAGACGCTTCTGGACATGAGCTTTCAAGTGTCCATGTCAAAGCTGAATATAACTTGCGTATAGGTGTAACCCATTCAGAAAGTTAATGTGGGTCTGCAATAGTCAACTTCCCCCGAGTCCACAGAGATAGTCCTCCGAGAAGCACTCCTGTGGTGGTAGTAGTAGTAGTAGTAGGAGTAGCAGTAGCAGTAGCAGTAGCAGCAGCAGCAGCAGGAGCAGGAGCAGGAGCAGTAGCAGTAGCAGTAGCAGTAGTAGCAGCAGGAGGAGGAGCAGCAGCAGCAGGAACCGCAGCAACACCCAAAACACGGGTCAGCAATATTCGGAATAACAACATGTGCGTATTCTCTCCCCACCGTCACCACGTGAGTATTGACGAACTAACATCAACTGCATCCCCCCGTGTCCATATGTGCCCTGCGAACACATGGCCAGGGCACACGAAAGCAATCTTGCAAATGAGATGCTCCTCAAAAGAACGGGCCCGGAACGTGAGTGTGGACGCAACAAAGAATTCATTTTCATAAGGCGCCCCAGTTGGCCCTATAGGGTCTTGTGAGAAGCTTCAGAGCACTGGGAGCCGGTCCTTCACAAGGCTTTGGCCGAGAACGAGGTCTTAACATCCTTGTCCTTGGAAGGGAACCGAGTGAGCGCCTCAGAAGACAACGGTTTTGGAACTGGGATGCTTTGTGTATCGAGAAGATTCTGTAAATTCACAGACTGTAATCTCACAAACTTCGGCTGTTCCTGGGTATCAAGAAGGGGCACGGACTTCCTCTTAAAAAAGGTCGGAGACCGCGGGGCTGCGCGCTTGGCAGCTGCGCTTGAGCGGAACGAGGCGGTGGCAGAGCTGTGGAGGGAAGGTGGGAGTGGTGCAAGTCCAAGTGAACGCGTTTTTGAGTCCAGGGATGTAGAAAGGGAGAAGGCACCGTGAGGTGAGGGATCCTTTTTGAACTTGTCCTTGGAACGCAGGGGTTGTGTCCGAGCACAGTACAATTTCAATGGATGTTTGATGTACTTTGTGTATTTTGTGTGTAATGAAGAAGTAGTTGTAGTGACCAGTGGTCGATTTGACAGTCAGTTGATTTTGTAGTGTAGGAGGTTCTATTTCATTGGGAGAATATGGATGTAGATTGATTATATAATTGTTTTAAAAAAACTTATCGGGATCTTCGCAACGTTGACCAGATCCTGCTTTGGAGTGATTCTGGGTACATGGAACATGTTATTTGTTGTCCTGACTGTGTTTTAGACAAAAGGATCTCCAGAGCCGTTGCAGTTTCAGTCAACAGAAACGGAGGGTACCTTTTGCTTGCAATAGCAATAGCAGCACTTGGCTGATCTGCCTGCCTGCCATTTGCTGCCTGCTGCGTTGGTGTCCTCGGTGTTGTTTTCAGACAGAGACCAGAGCGTGTCAAGACAATCACCCAAAAGCAGAGATCAAGGCCAACTAGGGGCCGAGGATGGCCCAGGGATCAGTCTCACAGATAATTACAGGCACTTATAGTGTAATAACAACATATTATAATAGTAATGGTAATAACAATAGCAGTAGCAGTAGAGTAGCAGTAGGAGTAGTAGGAGTCGGAGTCGGAGTCGGACTGGGTGCTCGGGTTAACTTGTGCCGGAATGAACTTGTGCATGAACTTGTGCCCTTGGGGGAAAGCTTGATTGGGCTAAGTTTTTGTATGTATGTTGTTGTTGATCACAGGTTGAGAATTCGACCAAGCCGCAAGGGCACACTGTTGATTCTGTCTCAAGTTTATTGTACTCCCAAGTGCACCTTTGCGATTTCATGTTTTTGGCTCCTCTACATTGTGATTAGGTTTTTTTCAACAATCGTTGCAAAACGGTGTCCCCAAGCAGTTTTGTGTTTAGGAGTGTAGACGATCATTGTTTGGTCATTTCATACTGTGTATTTGTTCTTTTTTGTGACTAGTGACTAGTGCCTTGAATACAACCAGCCTCAAGTTGCGCTTCCCAACCAATGTTGGGACAGAAAGGGGGCAGGCCTCATTTGCCTCGTGCATTTGTTTCTACATACTGGGTGCCTGCGCTTACCCCTGTCGTGGTCAAGATCTCGTATGGAAGCCGGTGTGCCATTGGGGGGAGCCTGCACCTCCTTGGGCGGCATCTGTGGCGGCGATGGGAAGTCCCCCGCATGCTCCACAACCACCTGTCTTGACCAAGTGTTCGCGCGGCGCCGTGTATTTCCCTTACATACCATGTATTTCCCGTAAACAGGGGAGATGCCATGTTCAAGTGTGAGTACATTTGCCCGAGGTTGTAAGACCTTGGTCCCTGATCCATTGCTCAACATGTAATGATGCCCAGCTGTGCCAACTTTCTGAGCGCTTCAAACTACTCTCCAGACAACCACAGTTGTTGGTCATGTCTCCTCGACTTACTGGCTTCCTTAATCAATTCTCACTCCACCTGCACCTGCAACCAAAAGTCCCAAATCCCTGTGACCTCCTTGCCATTCGCCAGGGTCAGGCGATAGGGCACAGTGGGATTGGTCGCCAGAACATCTACACCTGGGAGCACATTTGTCCGCACCGTGGATTCCATGGCAGCGAAAGAAACCCTCAGATGTTCTCAAAAGAAAAGCAACTGTAAAAAAGTGGTTCCGCTTCTGCACCAAGTAGCACCTTCAAGGGACATCTTGTCCAAGTGGTGTTTTTCTTCTCTCGGACGGGTCATACCATGGAATGTTTTTGGTTTGCACATTCTCTTGCAGTGTTTTCTGGAGGTTTTCCTTGCAAACGTCCGTTGTTCCTATTCTGTCAGGTTTATGTTTGCTGTTTTTTGTTTCAGATTCAGGGTGATTCATGGGTTTGTTGCTTCAAGTGTGGTGTGTGATCTTCTGGAAGTCATTGTCTGTCTAGAGTCTAGATTCTCGACATCGAAGGAAATCGTGATGAGAATGTACTCCAAAGTACCGGTCTCATCTGGCTCTGAGGAAAGTCAGCAAGGTTTTCGCTGCAGACTCGGTCTCCGCGCCGTACTCGCTGGTCAGACGCTGCCGAAAAACGTCCAAGCGCAAAAGGCCCAGAAAGCCGCACCTGAAGCCACTCCGAATGAAACATCACATGCCGTGTCCAGACTTCTCCCAATAACTCCTGTCCACGTGGAATGATCCCTTGCGTTTGTCATCGCAGCGCCCCGGCATCGATTCAAAACCAGTACAACACGATGACAACATCGTTCTGTCTACAGCACATGTTTTTCATACATCCCCCAACCCCCATACCATGCATTTGTTTGTCAAAACTGAATGGTACCGGGTCATTCATTCTATCACAGTGCCGCATTTCATGCTGCCTTAACTTCCACGATCAATGACTGACCCACCAAGCCTGAACCCAGCACCCAACACGGGTGAGATATCTCGTTTCGCCTCCAGCGGGCTGAGTCACGAAGGAGTTGTGGTGAGTCCAATCCCACGTCACCACGTCACTTTCAAAGAAGTATAATGCAACCGGTGCAAACATAAACCTGGATACTGCGATTCAAAAAAAGTTCGCCCCGTGGCTGTGCCAATAGTCCACTTGGGCCGTGCGCGTACAGAATTCATTCTACCAACAGCCCGCCGTGACACGAAGCCTCAAATCATGTTCTTGACGGGGGTAGGATGGCAATGTCCGAAATATCCCGCTTCAGCTCCAAAAAATCAAGGTAGCGTTGTGGGGACCCTTTCCCGTTGTCCAGGTCACTTTGAAAAAGGCGGATTTGCTGAGGCTTCAGGCATTCGAGTCAAAAGAGACGTTTGCTTTGGGAAATGGGAAGCTGCTAGAAGCACAAAGGGCACAAACAGCACCAGCACAATCCACCAGCTTTCTGCATGCTCGCGTCGGGTCACGATGGTTCCGCAGGAGAAGCTCCGCTTGACAGACCCATTTGTCCGTATTCTTTCAACAAACACGCCCAGTCCGACAGCCGCTGAGCCCGCTTGCCAAGATCCCCTTCACACACACACACACTTAGAGAGTTGCTCGCAAGAGCTATTATCAGTACGAAGTTCCCCTTGACTGGAAGAAAAGTGCAAACCGAAGGGCGAGGAAGTCCGGAAAATTGAAGATGTCTAACAAATTGTTGTAGTGCATTAGCCGCTTACTGCAAAACACAGAATGGGACAGCTTGTCAACAGTTCAACAATCAAGCAGGTACATGGTTGAGCGTCCTCAACCACTTCCCTTCCAGTGGCCCAGCTTCGTTGGATCAGGTTCTTACATTCGTGGGGTACGCGGGTGTGCCATGGGGGTGGGTCAAGTTCATGTGCGATGGGGTAAGTTACCACGTCGGGTCGTAGTAGTCGTAGTAGTAGTAGTTGTTGTAGTAGTTGTTGTTGTTGTTGTTGTTGTTGTTGTTCTTGTTGTAGTTGTACTTGCACATGTAAATGTAAGTGTAAATGTAACGACGCAACAATAGCCATGTGACCCTCCACTTGATGACAAATCACGGGAGGCCTTGACGTGCTTGAGCCTCGGCAGGCAGGGAAAAAGCGCTATTGCAAAGCGATGGGCAATCTAGGATCGATCTGGATCGACAAGCAACCCTGGAAAGAAGATTCACTTTCATGGCGAGTGACAGTCTTGCTGGAAATTGCACCGGAAAAGAGGGACAGCGCCGTGACAGCGCCTCTCCTTTCTGCATATCCATTTTACCAAGCCGCCCAATCCACTTACCAGTGTTTAAACCAATAAAGCTCACTCAAAACCAAGCCTGACTCCGGACCAAGCTGACACCAGGAACTGCGTGGGTGGACAGGGAGTGAAGCACTTGCTCGACGCGCTGGAGAGCAACTATACTCTGCTGACTCTGGACAGAGATCTGGCCATCGCTGTTAGGCTGGAGGCCATCGCTATTAGGCGGGAGGTCATCGTCTTAGGTTGGAGGCCATCGCTAGTAGGTTCCTTGTTCTATTATTAGGTTGGATGTGGGCGTCTGATCAGACGGCGGCTGAACAACTCATTTTATCAATACAGTTTGCTGGAGGTGATATTGTGGTATCATTCAAGGCAAAGCATTTTATAGATCCAAACTGTGATTTGTAGCTTTTTGGTTTTGACAGGCCTGGATAGGGCTATGCGTTTTATAGAAAGGACGGCTTTTGATTTTATGGAGAATAATGATTCTCATAGTATTTCATAGCCGTTGTTTTTTTCTACAACATGAACTGCTGCCAGGCCTTACCACCAGACAAGGGGGTTCGAAAAGCGAACCAGCCGCGCAAGGCTTAACAAGTGGTCATCCCTTTAGAGTCAGAAGAACCACCAAAACCAAAACCCAAGCAGCCTACCTCAAGCCCTTTCCAGGTCCGTGTTCTTTATCGTGAAGTTCTCTCTTGGTTTTGTATGGTTTGTCCGATTGGTGCATGTATTCACTGCTGTGTTAATTAAAGTAGAATCATTTGTACACTTACACTCTTGATATATATATATATATCTTCTTTATGGGTTTTGAATGCTGGTTCTCAATCCATTGTTGCGATTTTGAAGGGTATGTGTGTGTGTGTGTGCGAGTGTCTCGCAACGGTTAGATGACTAGGTTTCTGAAAAACGTTACCAAGACCCCCCATGTAGCTTGGTGTTGTGAGAATCATTGAGCATTTCCATTGAGTCTCATACCCCTTGTGGCCCTTGTCGGAGTGGATAGGCTTTTGCAGGGTCCTCGGCTGTATTTGGTGTTCACAACCGTGAAATCGGACCGGGAACTGGCACCTTGAGCCGTACGACCGTGAGGACCTGGCCAGCAACTCGGGGTCGCACCGGCCCAGCTGGTCCAGTGCAGGACAGCCCCATGGGGTGGGAGTCGACAGGACTCCCGGGGTTGACAGATTTGTAGATTCACCATCCTTAAGGGTTCTGAGGAGTATTGGATGTACACAATTGAGCAGCCAAAACTTCCCAAGTAACAAGTTGAAGAGAGGTTAATGTAGTGCGCCTTTGCGAAAGCAAAACATGCAGTCGCGAAAGATTGTACGACTTTTTCATTGGCGAAAGCTTGCGAAATCAGTTCCGTCCCGAAAGCTTGTGTAAGTGTTTTTGCACAGAATGCAGCGCGCGAAAGCCAAAACACAAGCCGTGAAAGGAACTTGTAAAAGAAGAGCCCATCAGAACAAATTCTCAACAGGTTTTGATGAAGGAAAAGTGTTGAGTCGGGAAGAGTTTGGTTTTACGGGGAGGTGAGTGAGGTTGGAGCCTCTTTTTCACCTCGCAACTGTAGCTTGCCGAGGTTCCAACACTTCGATGTTCACATTGCTTTTGAGCACGTAATGCAACAAAACTGGTAAAGACCATGAGTTTTGGCTTGCTGAGGTTAACAGATATTGATGTACAAGGCTTCTCATACCAAACAACCTCGTAAGTACTAGCAAAGACATTTGCGCAGAGGTCCCCCGCGCGCCCCTCGGACCAAGTCTTAGATTCATGGGGTTCCAGGAGGGAGCGGGGATCGAGCCGGCCGAATCCTGGGCAACTCTTTTCCGGAGCAAAAGCTCGACAAAGAGTTTACACATTTGGCACTTTTTTGACAGATTTTGGCATTCCGACTTCACACCCACATGGGCCAGCGCTTACCAAGGTCTCTCTCTCTCTCTCTCGAACACGCCGGCCTGCTCCGCTCACGCTCACGTTCATCGTCCTGACCGGGGTCAGCGGATTTTCGCTTTGAGTGGTAGTTGGTGGAAGTAGATTGGCCAACAATGCGGGTCTCCCTATTTTTTTTGTTTTTTTCCGGCCTGCCAACAAATCCTTTTTGACCTTTTCACGCTTTGCCACTAAAGAAGAAATTAATTGTGAATTTGAGGTAGGATCTCATTCTGTTGAGGCAGGTTGTCACACTATGTTGTGTCTGCCGCCGTTTGGCTCCTAGGGCCCTTGAGCTATACCGTGCTCGCTTTCGCAGTGAAAAGAGCGTGTGAACAGTACGATTCCGGTTGCTACCGACATTGGTAGCGGAGCAGGTGATGGCCTGACTCCGGCACGTACTGATCCAGGTCATTGGAATCGTAGAACATCAAGCCTGAGCTTGCATTCCTTGCGTGCTTTCGCTTGCCTCCTCTGATCCCGTTGGGGCCAGAGCCCGGAATAGATTGCTCGCCCGAGCAATCTCCGTCGGAATCGTCGAACATGTCCATTGCTGGACTCAAGTTCCATTCGGGTAGCACTGGTGATAGAATAGGCAACCCCCTGGAAACTAAGAGTGGGTCTTACATCTATTGGGGAGATCCTGCATCATTTCATGATTGGAAATTTCGAACCGAACTCCGCATCAAGCTGTACGACCAAGCCCAAACGCAACCAGCAAAGAAGCAGGATCCCGTGACTGGACCTGCCGACGAAGGGGAGCCTTGGCCACCAGAGTCAGACGAAGGATTCGCATTCCCTTCGCCTGGACACTATCCCGAGGAGTTTGAGCCCGAGCCGCGTGAGACTGCCGGTACTCCCAAGTCGAAGGTTGATGCAACATCACCGAAGGCTTCGTCCGTTAAGTCAGACAAGTCGAGCATCATCGATCGCAGTGTCCTAGTGAACAAGATCGTAGAAGGTTTGAGAGGTGATGCATTTTTGCTTGCCAGAGACTTAGGTCTAGAGACACTTGCACGTCCAGGGGGACTGGAGCGTCTCATCGAGGTGATACGTAACCATGTGTTTCCTCGAGCCTTGGAGGAGAGTAAGGAGCTTTTTCGCGCAGGACAGAAGCATGGAGGACCACTGTCGAGACAGCCTACAGAGAGCATGTTGTCGTACACTCAACGTCGACGACGTTGGTGGACCTTGTTGGTTGAGCTTGACCCCACAATGATGATCTCAGAAGCTTTCCGCACGGAGCTGTTGTTGGAGATGTCAGGTATCTCCAGGCAGGAGATCCTTGTGGTGAAGGCTTGCCGCAAGAACGATGACTTCGAAGGTACTGCACGAGTCCTGGTTGACAACTACAGTGGAATCCATCTTCGTGAAGGGTCCCGATCCTGGACAGGACGGGGAATTCAGCCTCAGGTAGGCAAAGGAAAAGGGTACCAAAAGGGGTACCAAGGTAAAGGCAAAGGTAGCCAATACCCTCGTGCTGGTTACAATGCCGTCTATCCCGATTGGGAAGACAATTTCGATTGGAGAGATGAGGACTTGCAGGAGCATCATCATGAAGAAGATTCTTTCGTAGGCATGCTAGGAGGAGTTGAAGAGTCTGAAGAACATGAACATGCTAGCCATCCTGAATACGAAGATTTTGAGTATCATGATGATGTTGATGAATATGAAGCAATTGCCTTGAATGCAGTAGTTGATTGCGAAGATGCCGAAGAACGTTCCTCAGGTGATGCTATCCAATTGCAGCTTGCCGCATTCGTCGCTTTCGGGAAGGCAAAAGGCAAAGGCAAGGATAAATTCAAGGGGAAAGGTAAAGGCAAAGGTAAGATAGTGAAGTCTCACCTTAGCATCGAGCAACGTCGACAGAAACTGTCCGAGATCAAGGCGAAATCCAAGTGTCTTCGTTGTGGTGGTTTAGGTCACTGGGCCGGAGACCCCCAATGTAAGATGCCCAATGCCCCGAAGACTGGATCGGCCCCGAAACCTGCTGCACACATTGCCCACATGAGTGATTCATCCGAGGACGAAGGGATTTTTCTAGGTGCGGCGTCTCCAACCGACAGCGTTGCTCACATGGCCGTGAAGGCCAGCTCAGGAGTTCGTCCGGAGGCACCAGTGGGTCCCAACGACCTCGTAAGGCCTGAGGGAGCGATAGGAAGTTCTTAGCTGGACAGTTCAGGGGGAAGACATTTTGGCAGATCCTTCATGAACATCCTGACTACCATCAATGGGCCATCAAGAATGGCAAGAGTCCAATCGCTTCGGCTTTCGTCACGTGGGTTGATCAGCATTTTGAATACAGGGGAGCTTCAGTTTTCAGGAAGGTTGGTGGTGCTTCTTCTTCATCGTCATTGCAGCCAATCCCAAAAGGGTCCTCAAGGAAGAAACCACCATATCCACCGAAAGAGAAATGCAAGAATTGTTCCGAGTTCACCAAACAAGGGAGCACAGCATACACCATCAAGAAGACATGCCTTGTCTGTGGGAACTCCACCACCGAGCGTAGAGATCAAGCCCCGAAATTTGCATATGACGATTGCCCGCACTCGGACACCGATTTTCGAGGTTCTTCCAGGTCTGTTCACCGTGTGTATTGCAAGCTTTGTTGTTCGTTTTTGGATGAGACTCCGATGGAGCTCCAAAAGACTAGGAAGGCAGCCTCTGAGAAAGTCGTCAACGCACTGCTCGATAGGATCCCAATGATTGAACGTTTGGTTGAAGAGGAACCCGAAGAAGGACACACCCCCGAGATGCTAGAGAAGATTTTGACTGAATTTGCCGCCCAAGTCGTGTTGGCAGCCGAAACCGAGGCCGTGACTTCGATCAAGCTGCACGAGCTCCTCCACCAGTCCATCGGAGAGAGCAAAGGAGACTCGTTCACCATGATTGATTACACCGAAGATCCAGACCCCTTTGCAGGGATCGGCATTTGTTTTCATGGGGAGGAACCTGCTCGCATGACGGACGGTCTGGTGCATATCTTTCACGAATCCAGAGACATGTACAACCCAGACGACAGAAACATCTACATCGTGCTCGACGAGGGATGTAATTCCACCTGCCATTCGAAGCACTGGGGAGACGTTGTTGAGGCCAAGTTGAAGAAGCTAGGATACGACTTCCCTTTTTCGACCACGACATCGAAGAATTTTGCCGGTTTAGGTGAAAATGGGACCACCACAGAGGGATCCCGCACGTTGCCATTTTCGTTGCATTTCGAGACAGGCAAACCCGTGCATGGTGTCCTTGAGTCCCACCAGCTTTCGAAAGGTCGTTCTCCGCTGCTTTTGTCTCTTCATGCGCAAACGCATTTAGGATTGGTGAAAGATCTCAAGAATGGTATTGTCAGCATAGACGGTAACCATCTCAAGGTATACCGATGTGTTCACACAGGTCTCATGATGTTGGCAGTCACCCCACAACAGCTGATCCAGAGTTTTCAACAAACCTCAGAACTTCAAGTGATTCCTAAGTGCCACAGACGTTTTCGCACTGCGTATCCCGCGATGGAACGCGGATGGAATGGCGAGAGAGGTTTTCAGGCCAATTCTGCGACCGAAGTCGGCAAAGCATTGGACACCATGGTATCGAGCCTGCAACCGCGAGAGTTCTTGATCATTACTGGTGGCGAGAGGTTTCTGGATCGCATCAACTTTCGAAGCAATTCGTGCCCGATCTTGGAGGTGAATGCGAAGGATTTTCATGATCCGGAACAGAACGTGAGCCTGAGAGGCCACGTAGGCCGCCATCCTGAGATTGTTCAAGGACTTCTTCGAGGCAAGAGATCGCTGGACACGATTCTTCGAAAGGTCGACAGGTTTTGTGATGAGGAGGACCGTGGTATGATCGACTTGAAGTGCAAGAGTGGAAGGCATCGGAGCGTTGGTGGTTCGATCATTATATACAGACACTTGAAGGCCAAAGGCATTTCTTGCAAGATCATCCACCAGCACAGTCCAGAGTGGGCCCAGATGAGCTGTGGAGGCAGGTGCAGTTTGTGTGGTCCAGGTCATCCGGAAGCCGCTTCAACTCCAATTGTCTTGACCCCGAACCAGACTTCAAGCATTCGATCAGTCCCAGTTGCAACAACCACTTCATCAGATAAGGGTGCACCTTGGAGACATCCGCCGAAGGCCATGCCTCCTACATTGGAACCCAAACAGAAGTCCGGCCCAAAGTCGACAGCAGCCCCGAGATCAT